AGAGAGAGAGAGAGAGAGAGAGAGAGAGAGAGAGAGAGAGAGAGAGAGAGAGAGAGAAAGAGAGAGTAAGAAAAGTATCAGTTCAAGAATAGAAAATAATTATATACCTATATTTGCTACTTGGAATGCATTCTCGTTGATTTTCTCGACTTTGGGTGTCAGCAGCACGCCCATTGCGCGCTTAGAGGCAGTGAGGTTCTTGTTCACCGCCTTGATCGATAACTCGAACGCTTTCTGAATCATATCGTCGCTGTCGAACAATCCCCCTGCGATCATTCGGTTTCGTCGATACGCTGAATTGATTATTTAGGTATTGTTCGCGCCTTGTTGGCGCGCGATATGCGCTTGCGAAAAGCGCAGCTGAGCTTACCGATCGGAATTCTTCTGGGAAAGCCCAGAATGGTGGGCATAAATGCAACAGTGACGTATAGGAGCAGCATTTCTCGGCCATTCTAAAAGAGGATCGTAGTTCTAATTACATAGCGTATACGCATACGCAAACGATCAAAACGGCGGAAGTTTCAAGATCGGGAACGGGACCGTTTCCGCGCTGTTGTGGTGACGAGAATATTTTACACACGTCACTACAGTCTCAACGATATTTTCAATATTTTGCGAAATCGCAGTAGAACAACATTAAACAGTTTCTTATATCTTTCTTTTCTTAATTATGCGGAAATCGAGACACGTATAAGATAATTATTTGTTTAATCGAGAAATTAAAAAATTGGTAACTCATTCTATTAAACAACTATTCTATTAAAGAACGAAGGATGATCGTTCTCTGGAGGAAAAGAAGCTATGTCTTATTTGTTCCAATGGAAGCACCAAGATTCAAAACATCGAGAAGAATTTTATCACGATGTCCAACAACTTCTGAGAAAATTGCTTGTAACACTTTACATGAACCATCCTGTACATACACATAGCCACTTGGTATATTTAGACGCTTCGCGCCTCACTGCGTCAATGCACTCTGTGAAACGGCTTCTCCCAATCTTCACTGAAAACAGCTGTCGAATAGCACGCTGATAGTTTTTGAGAACTGTGACGCGTACGAATTCGTTTCTGAGTGAAGTTCTAATACGAATTCCATAAGCTTTCGAACGCGTAGAAAGTTAGGACGCGTCTCAATGATGCAGAGTGCAACGCGCGCTTTATCCAAACAGACCGGGCAATATAAGCGTTTGCGAGTCGTGGTAAACACATTTAACATGTGTTTTATGAGGCTTTCATTAGAAATACGTTATACGTGTCTCAAATTCTTCCATCGTGTTGGAGAATAACTTTCTGCTTCGTCGATTTCGCACTCTTTTAGGAGTTTGAGGTGAAAGTACCAATTCGCGTAAGACCTAATTTTGAACATTCTTATCGTTTTGGCTCTTGAATATTTAAACTTTCAACATAAAATATATTTATAAATTTAATAGATGTATATGCATTTTTATGTTGAAAGTTTAAATATTTTTTTTAAGAGCAAATAAGACAACAATAAGAATGTCCAGGATTACGTATGTATTTCAAGTATTGATACTTTTACTTCACCTATGCTTTATTATCACCGAGATCGATATTCATATATTTAGCAAGGTAATCTCATTTCAAACAGGTTTCTTGCGTAATTTTAAGCGCATTCAGATAAATAAATTTATTTTAGTTCAGCTTAATTACGTGTGCCATACATCGATCTCGAGTAAATCTCTTCCATGGTTAACCGTGTATCGATAAGGGAAGCGTGTTAATGATGTTTCAGCGGTCATTGCCGGTCAGTGGTATGCATTGTTCAGCGGACACGGGTTTCCCAAAATCTACCAATTAACACGTTCGCTATTACGGTTTATTTGCGGAATTCTCCCCACAGACCATGTTATATCTGTTTTCAGGTAATTGTGTCAGACTTGACTTGTTCATATGTAGAAGATATAGAACAAAATTATAGTGATTCCGCCGTAGCAAACATATTAAGTAAAATTGAAAATGTGCAGTAAAGATGAGCTTGAAATGAGAGATCGCGGTGCATCACACATGTGCGACGCTGGTAGCGAACATGTTAAAAAAGCGTGTTGCGATTAGTCCTAAGCCGATGTTCCCATCGGGCGATGAACTCGACTGGTTAGTTTGTCACTTTGCGCCCGATGCAGTACGCGGGTAATCAAGGGCTTTTAAACCTCGATCTCATTATGACAAAACGTTAAGCAACGTGGTGTGACACGAGCTATATATTATCCGCACGGTCAGTTGCTAAAATAGAATGCGGGCGCCAGAAGAGCGCGTCGTGAAACGCGCACTCGGCTCTTCCGTTTCGCGCGGCAAAACGAACCATTTTTCAACGATGCGATGTTACGTGGCTAATGCTTCGCAAGTCCACGCGATAGATGATGCAAATCGACGCGATCCGCGAGCATCCATCGCGTCGTGATCAATAAAAAGAAAGGAGAGGTAAAGTACTTTTGCTCGACTGTTTACTTTGCTCGCCCGTCCGGATTGACGGATGCGTCCGATCACTCGCACGCGGATAATCGAAAGATTCGTCGCGAATTATTTGCGCACACACACACACACACACATACACACACACACACACACACACTGTGGAGAAAGCACAGTGGGATTTCGCGCGAAGGAAACTAGCCGTCACCAAACTCGGATGTGTCGCGAACCGGCGCTATCGAAGTCAGTGGCTAAACTATCCCATAGCCACCGGTTGACTATTTCCACCACATGCAAGCTCGAGAAGTAGGTAATAGGACCGTCGTACCTTCTCGTAGACCGTCCTACTCTCTTGCGCATGATCGTGGCTTATCTCGATCAGGAGAACGGCACGATTCTCTTATCGTTTCCGATATTAATACTACATGTCACAGCATGATTCCGCGAATCCCTAATTACGGCGCCGGTGGTCTAAAAGCGCGCGCCTTAGCGAATGGTGATTATCTTCAGGAAAATGAAGCGCGTGATTACCGGGAAATGCGTTCCCAGAGGTGCGTATCCGCGGCGTGCGAACCCCGCGCGCAAAAATTGCCATAATATCTGATACAATAAATTTCTTTCTTTCACTCGCGCTCTCTTCGGGTTCTCGCAGTTCTTGTGTACGCTCCTTCGTTCTAACTTCAAAAGAGAGAGAGAGAGAGAGAGAGAGAGTCTAAGTATCTACTTACATATATTGTTAAAAATGCGAGAAGTATAAAATACGCCGTGAAAACAACCTGCTTAATAATATTGTGAAGCCGTAGTTAAAACACACTTATCCTTATCGTTTTTCGTCGTCTTTTAGTTATTGGCTTGGACGCGTGCGGGATATCAACAGATAAAAGTTAGAGCGCACCCACGTTTGTAAACAGTGTCGCATATATTTCTTATAATTCTTATAGTGTCAGAAAAATTGTGATTCGCATAATTTTCTATTGTTTGATCCGCGAATTTTATCCTAAAATGCTGACGATGTAGTCCTTTGTGTTAGTCCGAAAGTTCATATGAGACCGTGAGCGAACGCGGGCCATAATGCAATAAGTCCGCGTATGCAAACGGTACTTTTTATTATTACTCGAGATTCGCGCGCGGCCGTTAATTGTCAGTTGGCGACGTTGTTATTACCGTCGGTATGAAACCGTACGGAGGGGTGCATCCCCTCGTACTGCCGTTGCCGCTTTTGTTGGATAGTCCATTTTTTCTTCGTACTATCTTCGTGTTGCTGCACTTGAGGATAAATTTCACTTCGTTTATCAATTCTTCCTTAAAAGACACCTAAAAAATAGACGTTCCTGTGAGTCTCTCGAAGTACAGCTCGACTTATGCGTTGAATGGAGGGAAAAAGAGAGAGAAAGAGAACTAACTAAATTAATAAAATTATTTAACGTACATTAATTTCGATCGTATATTAATTTAACTTGACATTAATTTAATTACGGCCAGATTCTTTGTATAATTAGTTTTACGGCGTCCAAAGGGTCTCGTGTTAAATTGAAATTGACAAATTAGTAAAATACCACTGGGTTCTGTACACCCCGACCCGTTTTAATGAGAAGCGGCAGGGCTGTATTATAAATGAGAACAGCGCGCTTACATTTTCCCGGATAGACGTTCGGGCAACATCCCAAAGTAGCTCGAGTACGGTGTACACGCAAGATAGGGCAACACCCACAGCGAGTACGAGAAACACCCCGCCAACATTTTCGAGATCAAGCGGTTGCGCCGAGCTAGTTCCGCCGGCTTCCTAAGAGACGGCGCACAAACAAGCGAATTAAGACGACTTGATTCGCAATTTGCATCTTATAATAACGTGAGCGCGTTTAACCGTAGCTTACCCTACATTTGCCTCCGCCTCGCTTTTGTGTCCACCACCTCTTTTTCAATTCGGTGATTATCCCACTTTCCGATAACTGCAAAACGGCTTTGTTCAAGGCGGTCCGATAAGGCGAATCTGAAACGACATTTTTCATGATAGCGCGCGACGAGCGATCGTCTCGGGTGAAATTTTCGTTTCTCTCTCACATCCGAACAGTCATTCTAACAATCTCGATAATTTCAGAACTTGCATTGCGACATTGCTATGTCGGTGATGCATCAAATTTATTCAAATAATAAACTTTTGCAACATATATGCGACCGTTAAAAGCTGTAAGAATAGAAGAGGCAACTATTTGAGATAATTGCGCATTATATGTCGTAATAACGCAAAGCTGCGGGTTTATTTGTATGAGGCTCACATTTCTTCATAGCGATACCATAGCCTTTTTCGTCTAACAGACCACCGACTTGTGTGACGTTGCAATAACGTTCCGTAATGTACTCGATGGAGCTCGATTCCATTAAAAAGGCGTATTCTTCGAGCTTAACCTTCTGCACACCGTCGTCGTTCCTCGCCGGTAGCACGTCATCCGCGTTAGCGATCATGTAATCGTACATTTTCTTGTACGTGGAGTGATTGCTATCCTTGGGATTGCCAAAAGTCTTTCAAAAAACTGAATTAGAATGTACGCTCCCAAACTTCTCATGCCTGTTTTTCTAACTAAGCGTCTACGCGGATTAATGCAAGCTTATTTGAAAGTACTTGTTTGTATATTATTGCATCAATCGGTACGAGGG